TCCATTTGCGATAACGATACATGGAGCTAGTGAACTTCCATTCACCACCAAAGTGGGCTATCCATTTTTGCTTTGGTCTGCCAGTCAAGGCATCCTTATACCATGCAAGGAGGGTAGAAACCAGGACTGTCGTTCCAGGCCAACCACCTTGAAGCTCGGTTGTTGATGAACTAATTGTTGGTGTACAGAGTAGAGTATCCGTCAGTCAGTGAGTGCAGGTGTAAGTAGATATTGCAAAGGATCTTACTTTGTTTCAATCTCATCTTCCCGTGTTTCAATATCCCCAACAGATGGTTGCACGGGTCCAGATAAAAGGTCACTGGGACTTGGGAGTTCTGCCGAGTCATTGGGTGACTGGGTCAAATCAATGTGCGGAGTGGCTGGGGTAGGTGATGGAGATGGAGATGTTTGGGATGATGACGAAGGGAAATCCTTCCCTTGTGTGTCCATTTGAAAGCCTGTTGCATTGGCGACTGATAGTGAGCAATCAGTTTGTTGTGCTGGTATGGATTTTTGAGATATAAGCGGAGTTGTTGGTGAAGAGGGAGTTTCGCAGATTGCTGGGAGATCTGATGTTGATAAAAAGGCGGAAGTTGGGGGGGTCTTTGCAAAGATGGCGGCTACGGAGTGGTGTGTAGCTGTTCGGGGGATTACAACCGTCTGGAGACGCGCCACGATCTTGCGTTGGTCGGCTCGGAAGCGGTGTGGATATTGGACCAGTGTGTCACACTACAGAAATAAAGAATCTCACCATATCAGTATCAGCAAAGGACACATGAAAGACGAGCCTGAATGGAGCTTACCCATCCCCCATTTTTTTCATCCCAAAAGCTCAGCGCACGATTCCACTGTGGAACTGCTTCCATCACTGCCTGCATCAAAAGCTCGCATTGGTCAAAACATGCTTGAGGCCACTGTGGAAATACTGCAGTGTAAGCTTTTGGTTCAACAGCCTGTAGTCGGGGAAGTGATTGCAAGGTATGGAAAAAAACATCAAAAAGATATGGAAATAGACATCAAACAAGGTCATAAGACAAAGCATAATAAATTAGACACATACATTGAGCCATAAGTATATGGTGGCCATTTTGCTTAAGTCGAAGCGGTTCGAATGCTGGTGTGCAGATTTTTCTCGTTCAATTCGATTTTGATGAATCAGGGCCATACTTTGAGATGATACCAGGCGCCCAATGGAATTTGATGATTGGGCCCACTGGTGAGGGGTGGAGCTCGCTGCTGAGGCTCTTGATTGTGCTGCCGATTGAGAGTTGGCCGTAGCAGCTTTGGCAATTGGCTGAGCTTGATGGCCAAAGAGTTCCAGTTGCTGAGGCGGAATCACAGATTTGCGTGGGTGTTTGGTACATAAAGCTGAGCCGAATTCAGTGCAACACTTGAGATCAAGGAAAAAATCAGTTGCTGAATTAAAAAAGGTAGGAGACGCAATCTTACCCCACGACAATACTGAGATGGACACCCTTTGTTTCCGGCGTCCTTATGGTTTTGAGACAATGAACCCTCATTGACTCGTTTGCAAACAACGTGTGGTTTTTGGACAGGGCGAGGATATGGATGATGTCGTCCAGTAGAGCAGTTCGCAGCCGCGGGAACGTCATCAAGGATTTCGCCTTGTGTTGATACTCTAGGTCCCCAATCACCGGGTTTGGAGACAATTGGTCGAGGAGTTCCGAGGTTGATCATGGCAAGTTCATGGTTGAGTTGATCACATCTCCAGGTCTTCCAATTGTGTTCGTTTTGAGGGGTAGGGCACTGCGGGTTGGAGGAAATTTTTCAGCTTTTGGTTAGGTTTCAAGTAAAATTCTTGCTACTTACACCGATGAGCCAAGAATCAACTTTTGCTTTCTTGTATTCCATTGGACCATACATACAGGACATCTCAGGCATACTGGTCCATTCAGGTATGGTATTGGTAGCGCTATGACGTGAGGGTTGACCTTGACATATTATTCTGATTTTATTGGAGCGACGACCATCCTCACTGAGTTGAGGGAAGAAAAGTTTGCTGAGATTTGTATGTGGTGATGGTGTGAGAGCAGAGTCTGGCATTATGAATCTGGAGGCTATACAAAAATATTTGTTGTGTGGATTTTTTTTTCATGAAACACAGAGGGTATGCTGGATTGGGATAGGAGCGAGCTTAGGGTCATGCAGGTGTACAGCGTGTGACATGGCTGATGATCTTACAGTACAGACCACGGGCTGTATGGTTTTGGTAGTTTTTGACTTGAATCCAATTTATTCTTGGTTTGGTTTAGGTAGATGTATTTCACTTAAGGGGGTGTAGGTGTATTTATCACAGTTTTATCAATGTATCAGATATTTATCATTATCAGATTATCAGAACCATCCCCGGAATCTCCGGTGCTCCCTACCGTCGGTACGGTGCCTCGGGCTAGGTATCTCAGCCCCCCGGCACCGTACCGACTCCGACGGAACGGGAGCCGGGCCAGAGTATGAGGATCCCCAATTTTTATCGGGGAACCGAGCTATAGCAGAGAGCTGTAGAATCGAGGGCAGATAGGGAGAAATGAAAGGTGAGGAAGGCCTTGTAACAACTCATAAATCAGTATAAGGAGTCAAATACAATGAGATACCTGTACGAAACAGTAGAATATCAGCCGGAACTTGCTCGTGAAGCAGATTTATGATTTTTTTTGATCTAGCAAGCTCTACCGACTAACACTCGACGGGGAACCGACAGGTAACCAATATTTCGGTAGGCCCCCGATTTTCGGTGGCGGGGGACGGTCTGCAGACGTACATGAAGATCCCCGACGGGGAGGGGTCGGCTCGGAAGCCGGGACGCATTTCCAAAAAGTGCTCGGGGTGGATTTTTGCCGGTCCCCGCTCCCGAGCGAGCGGGGCTCATGCTGACATGTTTGGGATGTGGAGGAATGAATCTCAGTTGGACAAAAATCTCCCTCTCAGATGATACTGATGTACCATGAATGAACAGCATGATTAATATCCCATTTCATAAGTTATTTCTCCATTAACCTTGAAAGGAACAAACAGAAAGTCACATTCAACAAGTGTTTACACAAGTTGCTCATATGCAAGTTGAGTTGTGCACAAGGGACATAGCTTGCATTCATCCAAAAATCAATTTTGTCTCACTTCCCTTTACTCTGAGGAGTATTCACCCACATTGAAACAAATTTTGTACATTGAAATAGCTGATCTAGGTACAAGAATCATGTCAAGATTATTTGCCTTTTCCAATGTTCCAGAAACAAAATTGAAGTCCCCAAAAATTCTCCAAAACCAGCTTTCCAATGTTAGGGATGTGGGGGAATTAATTTCCAAAACTATCAAAAACCTGGCTTTTAGGTTAGGGATGAAACAGGAATTAAGGGCCTCAAAAAACAAAAAAAGAGGTATGAATTAGGAGGTTTTGACCAATTTTCCATCCCTATCATTTATAAGACTTATCCAGGGTCCTGTCTCTCCGCTAACTGGAAGAATACAAAAAAGAATAAACCCGTCAATTGAGTTTTGTCTCTGGTTTTACCTGCTACAGAGACAACTTTCTCCAAAAAAAATTGTCAACCTTTCTTGAAACGGCTGTATATTACAAGCCAGAGCTTCCAGTGGCAGTAGCTACTGAGAAGAATGCTCCATATTCCTGGACCTATATTGCCCTCTTTGGTGCCCCAGATGTTGTCCATGTCTTCAAGCCCTATGGTTCAAACTTTGCATTAGTTCAAGAAGGATGTTATTCAATACCCAGATTCATAATGGAAATGTTACAAAAATTGACATTGACAAGCTCATTGAAAGGTACAATGAAGAAAGAAAAATAATCACCTTTGATCATGAATATGATAAGTGGTCGACCTGTTGTTTTCTTCCTTTTCTTCCTCTATAACTTATCTATTGATTACACACTTTATCAAATCACTTTCTTTATCAAGTTGTGCTCTTTCTCACATTTTCTATCACCACCAGCATAAAGCAATCTTCCCACAGAAAAAGCTAATCAATCTCATTCCTAATCAACTTCACTTGGTCCATTAAATTCTAATCAAAACTTCACTCAATTCATTACTTTCCAATCAACCCTAATTAACTTCACTCAATTCATTGTTTTCTAATCAATCCTGACCACCTTCACTCAAATCATTGATTTGTTAATTCTGTTATCCACCTTTCTCAAATCTTTACTATCTCAATATCCAATCATTGATGCTTCAACATCTAGTTTGAATCCTTGTTATGTTGACACTCTCTATCTCAACCGTCACTTGGATTTTTGTGCACCTCACCGGATCAACAGTGGAGAGCAACACAAGACTTGGGCCAGGACCCCGGATAGCTCCTATAAAGCATACTGACAAAAAAAAGACCAAAAATTCAGTCCTTCATACCTGAATTTGAGGGTTTGGAGGGCCAAGAATACCTCTTTCGTCGGTAACATTTCAAATGAAAACTACCAAAATTTGCCAAAAAAAATCCTCGCAAGTCCTTAACACTCAAAAATAGCCTAGGAAGGCCTAGAAAACCTACAAAATTTCCCATTCATTCCTCCGATGTCGCTATGATCCAATGCCAATGTGGTCAAAACATACTTATTTTGTCGCTTACATTGCCAAAATTTCAAACCAAAAAGATACCTTTTTGGTCGGTACCTTTAATAGAAGCTATCTGGGGTCCTCTTGGGCCCCATTTCAGCTCATGGTCTAATTTCCAGCAAAGCAAGCAACTTGAAATCTTCAACTGTTGCAAAGACTTCAAAGACTAATAAAAAGTCAGCCCCGTCCAGCCCCAGAAGTAATACAAAAAAGGCAGCAAAGAAGAATCAAGTTTCAAAGGCTGCAAATTAACAGGTCAGAATTGCTTTATACTGTACTTACTTGACCAATCACCATAGATGACTACTTGGATGATTTTTCCCCAGGTTCCTACTGTGGTCAATGTGGACCAGGATACAACTTCTGATGATGAGGCTGATAGTACTCAATCAGGCAACAAAGGTGGTTTCATAATGTGGTGGGCAAGGTTTTTGAACTTTCCAAAGGCACACCTAAAGCGGGGGCACTGAGGTGTTAAATTCCAACCAAAACCAAAATCAAAGTAAAAAACACTGAACAACGTTGAAAATGATGTGTTTTATATTTCATATTACTGTGGTAAATCAAAGGAGGCATTTCATCAACATTCATTAAGAAAAATCATTGAAAAGGTCCTCCTTGTCCCAATACTTGTTCTAAGACTCCTATTTCAGTACAATAGTATTAGGTTGTTCTACTTCAACTCAAATGTCAAATAATTTTACATTAAAAAGAGTATCTATATAACCAATCTCATTATCATCCTCTCATTCTTCTTCTTAATCCACTTCATCTTTGCCACAAATTCTATTTTCAAACTCTTGAACTTGGTCAAGATCTTCAAACTGAGGATTTAAATATTGTGATTCATCAGTAGAATCAGTTTGATTGGTATTGGTGATTGGTTTGGGCACACAATTTGGTTGCTTGAATTCAAGGTCCATCTCAATTTGAAACATCATCTTCAGTGTTGAGATATGCATTTGATGGTGCAACTTGGTCTTCTAAGAACCCATCTGCGTAAAGAGGCTCTTAACACCACCAGCATGGGGTGGGCAGGCCAACCCCAAAATGAACCCCAGAAGGTCTACCCCTGGGGCAGCCCAGCTGTGCCCTGCCCAACCTGTGAAGATGTTAAGTTCTGTCTGTCCCATTTTGGAGAACCAATGCATAAGAATGATGAGGTGAGTACATTTCTTATTAGTATCACTCTTTGCCCTTTTGGTATTGATGTCAATTGAAAAAACTTCAGACTGGTTCCTTCAAGCTTCTGTAGCCTTGTCTTTGGTGCAACCAATGGTTTACTTGGGGTTGCTGGACAAATTCCAATCTATATGACCATTGAAATGTCAAGCCAGGTCTCTGTCTGTTATGTATTTGAGAAGGCCATCAAGGCAGGCTTGACACTGCCACCTATGCACCAGTAATTGCAGAAAGCCACAATTTACAAGACAGTTGAAGGACAGATGATGCAAGCATTCATCAAGAAAACAGCCTCCACAGTCAAAGTCCTCAAAGTACTCCTTGTAATCTGGATTGTTTGGCACACTATATACATGGGGGTGCTTTTCAGACTTCACGCTTTCACTTGCTTTCAAGCTTTCTAACCCAGGATTCAATATGTGATCACCTACCTGGGCTACTCAGACAGCAAAGAAACTTTACAAGTTGACACAATTGATCAGTGGTGTTGTGTAGGGTTACAGTCAGTTATTTCTGCCGGTATGTCTTCAAAATCTAAAATAACATTTTTTTCTTCATTTCAGAACAATTCAAGCCACATCTGGCTTGTCCACAATGTGTGGACCACCAAAAGTAACCACTATGTAGTGCTCATCACCGTAAGGTCTGTCTCTGACCTTCACTGGAAAGTCCGTAAACTAATTGTCTGGCACAACTTCTCTCAAGAACATAAACTGGGAACTTTGGTTTAGATTACGAGCTAGCTCCAAACAGTCCCATGAGTAGTCCTCAGAGAAGTCAGTAAAAGGAAACAACAATTGAAAAGGATAGAGATCCTAAAAGATATAATGAAATGTGACTTGATCTCACCTAGCTCCAAACAGTCCCATGAGTGGTCCTCATGGAAGTCAGTAAAAGGAAACAACAATTGAAAAGGATAGAGATCCTAAAAGATGTAATGAAATGTGACTTGAGCTCACCTAGCTCTAAACAGTCCCATGAGTGGTCCTCAGAGAAGTAGGGACTATCCAAAGCCGGTGTTGGAAGAGAAATGTATAGTCTAATCTATCTAACCCCATATGAATAACCCATAACCTCCGGTCTACTTGTGTAACCCTGAAAATAATTGCCTGCTATCTCAATCAAAAATTTTGCTACCAACAGATTCCATTAACCCTAAAGATGGTAACTTGAAATTATTATGGTGAACTGATAGCATGTCCTGTTGCAAGATACCTAATTTCTCATAATTTACACACAAAGATCCTTACTAGAATAGGAACAATCAAAGAGAACTACACAGCTGATGGATCTTCCTTATCTCACTTCTTGCTGATACTCAAGTTCTTGGCCAGACGATTGATAGAGATTCATGATAGGTACCAAGTGTATGGAGGTGAACTTTTCCTTGGGTGCCCTTGTCCTGGTAGAATATCATTGAATCACAAAGTCACTCACTGAAGCTCACACCAAAACACCTGATCAACCTCTCAAGGATATGGTTGATATGATGGAAGATTTTAAAAGACCCACATGTGATGATGTACAAGAAAAATCCCAAAAAAACCATTCAACAAAGAGAAAATTGTCCTTCACTTTTCATATTTTTTCAGATTTTTCTTGTCACTTTTGGAGACTAAAACAAAGTCCTACATTTTTATGTAATATATGTCAGGAAAGGCTTGAAAATTATCAAACTGAGTGCTTGGATTTTTCTCCATGATCAGCCAAAACCTTTCAACATAAAGAACATAGCACAATTTGACTTGACTGAATTTTTCAGATTTTTTGGACCAATATCAAGCATGCCATTTCAATTACTAGCAACGCTGAGACAGCTACGCTACAACACGCTACAATGCATTTTGTATGTAGCGTAACTGTATGCAGTTAACACAGATCTGACCTTTATGATAGTGTAACTTGTCAAGTTACGCTACGCTATGAGCTACTGTAGCTGAGTTTTGTGCCTCTACACTACGCTACAGTGCGATTTGGTTAGCTGAAGATTTTCTGGGACTCTGTGTAGGGTAGCTGGGATTCATTCATGCTGATTCCTGCGAGCTGTAGCTTTGCGGCATATTTCTAGCTACGCTATCTTGCGCTATCAGCTACGGGTAGATTAGCTGTCTCAGTGTTGTTACTAGTTTTGATCATTTTTCACTATGGAAAAATTCATTCTCCTTGTAGTTCTAGCACTCAAGGCACAAGGCTTCAGTGTCACAAAGGACTTGCATCTTGAAATGATCCTTTCTTCTCACAACCATTTATGTACTTGTCAAGAAGCTTCTCTGAAAACCAGGTATTTCTTCACCACTATCGTTAGCATCTCACCTATACAAACAGTAGGAAAACTGCATTTCCTGACTGTACATAGATCCTATTTCCTTCATCTCAAACTCACTCGAATCCTTCTTACATATCACTCAATTTACATACATATGTACCGGCCTTTCTGAAAACTCCAAGTCCGTAGGTGATAACCTCAGGTACGCATGGCTGATCTTGAGACAACCAAACTCCACCGCACCGTCAGCCGCGGTGCAGCCGCAGATCACACCGCCTTGAACACTTCAAATCACCAAGTTCCACAAGGTCGAATTTGTTCTCACTTCACTATCTTCAATAACAACAACCCTTCACCTTCAACCATTCCCGGTGCTCAATATGGGAGGTCGCAGCGGCAGGAAACTTGGAGGTAACATCACCAACGTTAAGGAGGAAAAAACTAAGAAGCGTCGGAAGAAACCCAATCTCGAAGCTGAGGCTAGAGCCGAAGCCAAGTTTATGAAGAAGGTCCTAGATGCGAAACAATTCCTCCGCGGCCCACCACACCATCCTCACGAGCTAGCTGGTGACGATCACGACCCTCTGGACGAACGTGGAGATCTTGAACAACCCGATATCAACGACATGTTGCTTAATGAACTCATGCTTATGAACGGAGATGATCCCGATCCACCCGATGATGATGGCAATGATCCTTGGACTGATATAGAAGACTTTGATCGGGATGGTGCCATTCGACGATTTGTTCAAAAACATCGAGGATTTCGTTATGCAAGAAAACGTGAAACTCTTCGAAAGCAATGGGAAGCCCTCGAAAACCAGATCACCGCTGTCTATCTTGAAAACAAAGTCACTATGTTGAACTGGACCACAGAAACATCATACCTTGATGTTATAAGCCCGGACTGCCAGTGTGCCGCAGGTTTGTTTCATATTCGCAAGATGGACTTAATTGACATTCTCGGTAAGTCTTTCACTTGATGAAATTGTATCCTAATATTTGAAACTGACCTTCCACCCCTCAGGACGATCAAACTCTGTCCCGGTCCCTTTCTGTCCCTGCTTACCCGAACCCATTCAGCTCATATATCGAGGTTATTTAGCCGCTTCACCCACGCAACCTCGCACCGCCTTTTCAATTCCATTATTACAGCAACATCACGACTTGTGGCTCACCTCGGTTACTGCGAGGTCAAGCTATATTGAAGGCCACCTCAACTTCCTCGACAAGCGGTCCTCTAGACCTCTTCTAGCTAAAGGAGGACATGGCAATAGGCGCAATCTTGCACAACCATTCACCAGCGCTACTCATCTTTACACCCGGATCACGGTCCTCGCGAACAAGCTGCTCAAGGAAGGACTTCAATTGACCAACACGGATCTTTGGGCCGACCAATGCCCTCGATGTTTTGGCCCGGCGCAAAATGAGACGAAGGGATCAGACCAAGAGCCCGATTTCATTATATGTATGGACGGTAACTTTCAACATCGACATAATGTTCTCGCCAGCAAAGACCAGCCAGACGAGAGCAAATACCCGCCCTTGTTCATCAAGCCAAGCAAAATACGACAACAAGATGCCAAATTAGTTGCCGCTCTTGCTTCTGGGAACGTGGCAGTGACTGAAGTAAGTTATTCTCATTAAAATCAAAGTGCACGAGTTATTACATATACTGACTTTTAAATAAACCACAGGATCCTTGTTCTGAATCCCACAAGACTGCAAATGACACTCGAAGTTCCTCAACCTGGGACCGATGCGATGACACCGGTTTGTTTGCAGCAGCCTGTCGCCACGATGTTCCATTAGTCATGGCAAACATATATCAAAGCGGTGAAAAGTAAGAAGGTGATTATGTTATACAAATTCTGATTTACTGACGCAAATGTTCTCTTTCACTAGGCTGTACTACCCGCTTAGCTTAATGAAGCATATCATGGACGACTTCCCATTCAGCTGGTTTGGTGTATTGTATGACATCGGATGTCACCTCGACAAACATATCAGAGTGGTATGTTTCTTATAATAGGATAGGTGAAGTATTGATACGTCAATAAAAACTGACTGAATATGTTATTACTTACTCTATATATACATTAGCACAATTTATTACCTGAACATCAAGCTCGAATCATGTTAGCAACATCGGTTTTCCATGCCTACGTTCATACATGGGCATGCCAACTGCTCTACAACCCCAGGTATCTCGACTACTGGGGTTTATCAGACGGTGAAGGACTCAAAAGGAATTGGTCCTTCCTGTCGCGCCTGATTGCCGGGTTACGAACTTCAACACGATTACATTGGCTGCAAGCAATAGACATATTGGCCAGATACCTAATGTACTGTCTTCAACTTAGCACTTCGGATTGGCTCTTAAGACGACTTCTCAAGGTATCAATTACAATCAAAGAAGCTCAAGCAACGTTGAACCATTGGTGTCAAAAGGCCAACCCTTACAAGCCTGGCCGCAAATATACCATGGCTTTCTTCCAAAAGCAATGGGAATCCGAAAGACGAGCAAACATCGAGAATTCAAAAGATATCAAGATTTGCCAACAGATTGAATTGGGTAGGTTACTGTGCCTCGAGGACTTACATTATAAGGTTTGGTGCGTGTTTCTTCAGCCAAACAGGGCGAGAATGACAGCTGTGACTAAACAAGTTTAATCAATCACAGGCTGGAGGATGGAACTCATGAGGAGCGAGCTGCTGATTGGCTGGAACGGGTTCAACAGCTCGGAATCGAAATAGCTGCACAGCGTCAGAAAGTGGGTTTGCCTGATTGTTTTACTCATCTATCAAGTAAGTAACAGGAACCCTCTCAGCCACATTTCTCTTATCAATCACTCGTGCTCATATCTCTAATTGAATTTTAATGTTTTTTTTGTTTAACAATTTGAAGAGGACGCTGTTGATTTATTATTGAAGGTCTGGTTTGCTAAGACTGAGGTACGCCGCAGATTTCTTGCTTTGAGGGCAGAACAAAGGCCTTTGGACCCCGAAAACAGAGTTGGTGGTAGCTCGCATCTTGGTAAGTGCTCTCAACAAACTGAGTTGTGGATTTCACACTGATTCTAATGTCCTATTTCAAAAGGTACTCATGAGAAGGAGCAAATTATGGACGCCATTCAAAAAAGAACACGAACTATGAAGAAAGCGTTGACAAATTATAACAATATGGCACAACAATTTGCAGACAAGTTTCCAGAACATCCAACATCTCCAGTAATCGAATATATTGACCTTCATGAACTGGAACCTGACAATCCTTTCTGGAACAACGGGATCTTTACGCACTCGCACGAACCTTGGGCACTAGATCATGCGACTCAGATGGGAATGAGAGCCATTGCTCGATTACAACGAGGACGCGAAGAGCATCGCAGGGTAGGTTGGGAGGTTCAAAGAGCCATGCGTTGGGCTACAACTTCTTTTGACCGTCTTTGGAACATTCTGGAACATCTTGCGCATTCAGACATCCTCCCGGATGCCATTCAACCTTTCCTAGAACACAATATCATCAGTTCAGCTTCATTACACGCAAAGGTATCTATTGTCAAAGGCGTCCTTCACAACGAATTGACCAGGGTTGCTAGGTTAAGTTTCAGGTGGAATTCTAAGATTAAGGAGGTCTTTTTGAAAACTGAAGCTCAGGTAGGCGATATGCAATTGCTGGCTCAATGGCAGTTGCAACTTCGGAAGATGGAAGTACTACGGTTGAATGGCTTTGGTTTGACTAAAGCTGGGGACTTTGAGCATCTAATGCCTCGAGTTCCAGTTCGACACGATATCATACCTGATGGTGTTAGAGAAGGTGGACCTGAGGAGCCTGAGGATGGAGATTTGTCTGACATCAACGAGGAGGAATGGGCACAGGGAATTGATGAAGGCATGATGCAAAATATTATTAATGCTGTAGGAAACGAAGAGCCATCTTGATAATATAAGCCTTTTTATACTATTTTTTTGTTGTGTGTTGTATTTTTTTCCTCTTTATGTTGTTCATGTACGATATGTCTTTCAGTATATCATATGAAATGAGTTTGATATATTCATCATAAGAAATGAACATCAAAACTATAATTCATGCGTTGCATCTTCCAAAACTTCGTGTAATAGTGACAATAAAATACCTACATCCTACCTTCGAAATTGTTTTTCAAAGGTGAACATGACGAGACATGGACAAAAGTCAATTACAAAATATGTCCGCCGTACAAATAAGCACATGAACCAATGTGCAACCATCGGAAGTCATTCATACTTATAGGCTTTGTGCAAGTTTTTTATCTGAAAGCGAAGAAAGCACTTACATTTTAGGATCAAAAGTCGTTTTCGAAGGTGAAGATGACGAGTTATGGCAAAAGTTCTTTAATGAAAAATGTCCGCGAAGCAGAGAAGCATAAACGTAAAATGTTGAAACATTCAACTTGCTTCAAAAACGTACACCTGGTGTACGTTTTATACCAAGAGGTTACCAAATTACCTTATTTTAAGGATGAAAGTTGTTTTTCGAAGTTGAAGATGACGAGCTATGGATCCATGTCAATAATAATAAACGTCCGAAATACGAAGACGCATACATTTCAAAATACAAGAAGCGTTCTTCCGTCATATTCATATAAGTTGTGAGACTTTTGTACCTGAGATCAAGAAAAATGCCGGTTTTTGTTGATTCAATGTGCTTTTTGGAGGTGATGATGACGATTTATGAGAAAACATCATTAATTAATAATGCGCGCGCTGCAGAGACTGTGATCTACTCACAATCTTTGGGGCGAGAATGAGCAGGAAGTGACTTGAGGAATCCATTGCCTTGAGAGATGCGAGCAGTTTATATACGCGAGTGTCTACAAGTAAGATACGAATAAGGAAATAGATGTAGTACAATATGAGGCAAGGGATAGCCTTGGAATGGATGACTACGATCAGTAGGAATGGCCGGATCCGGTACAACTGGATCCGGGCTACAATTGGTAACAATGATGATCGGGACGGATCTATGCA